TTTTATTGACCTAATTGCCGACAATGAGGAAATTCAACGACTTGGATTTCAAGTTTCCAAGAAGAAGGGTAGAAAGGCAAAATAATAATAATAATTATTATATTTTTATATTTTTTATATTAAAAAATAAAAAAACCTATAATTACAATTACAAATTAACATTATCAAATTAAGTTATAATTTAATAAATTATATATTTTATTGACCTAATTACCGACAATGAGGAAATTCAACGACTTGGATTTCAAGTTTCCAAGAAGAAAGGTTTGTTATTGGGCAATTTCAGAACAGCATTTAAAGTTTGTGATGCCATCCGTGGAAGTCGCGGCAGGAAAGTTCCCGATTGAAACTACTTATCATGCGCGCGGCCTGCCATGCTTCCGTGAAGTTTACCATACTTCGACTAACTCACCAAAGAAAAGAAAGGGCCAAAGGAAAAATCACACGGCTAGAAACTGACTACTCAGATTTTGTTGCTATTTTAATTTTTAATAATGTTTGCTCTTCACGTATAAATTTTGGTTGTCTTTTGTACAGTGATTTATTGACCATCCCAATACAAAAAATATTGGTTAAACCTTTATTTTGATTCCTGAACTATTGTACAGACTTTTGATTTGGTCTTTGAACTAAAAAAATCCTTAATTTAATTCTTGAACTATTATACGGACCCCTGAGTTGGTCCCTAAAGTATTGTACGGACTCCCGAATTAGTCTCTAAACTATTGTACGGATGCCCAATTTGGTATCTACTGTTTACCAATTTAACTCAAACTTGGTCATTCTGTTAAATAATAGTTTAGGGACCAAATTGGGGCGAAATTGTAAACAGTAAGGACCAAATTGGGAGTCTGTACAATAGTTCAATGACCAACTTATGCCAAATTATAAACAGTGGAGACCAAATCGGGGTTCATACAATAGTTTAAGGACTAAATCAGGGATTTTTTTAGTTTAGAGATCAAATCGAGGGTCTGTACAATAGTTTAGGAATCAAAATGAAAATTTAACCAAAAAAAATCATATGCCTAAAATTTAAATTTTACACTCAGGTTCCCTTTCTTTTCCTACTATCAAAAAAAAAAAAAAACTTGTCTTTTCCTCCAAAAAGTTTTTAAAGTTAAATAAATAATTTATTTAAAACCAGCTTTAAAGATTGCTATGC